TTATACTTAGCAGGTTTGTATGTGGCTGTCCAAAACGGGCACTAGTCACGGCCCATCGGGTTGGGTCGTGACAACGACCTCTAGGCGAAAGAGGAGAACTAAAAGGAAAATAAAGTGAGACTATGGGGGTTCGATCCCACAACCTCGCGATCAACTCGAAAAAGTCATGATCAAACAAAAATAATATTATGAGGCTGTCGGGGATCGATCCCACAACCTATCGGTTCCCAAACGGATATTACACAAAGAGAAATGACAACATTGGGGCTCGATCTCAGGTCAAATGTTGTGTGACCGAAAATAAATAAAAAGAAAAATGTAAGTCTTTTCCAAAGGATTCAAAACCGGGTTCCCTTGCCCAAATTTCCGTATTGATACATAACTTATATGTGAATAAATTTTAAACATAATGCTTCCTACATAGATCAGAATCGATATCTTGGCATACATACAAGATGCATAAGTCTTGTACCACATAATCTTATGATCCTCTGTAGTTTGTGTATGAGGTTCATAAGATCTTGGTGTCTATGCAGGCAAAAGATACAGAGAAATCAGAGTTGGCTTCCTATCAACTCAAGGATGTTGCACAGACTTGGTTCAAGATGTGGCAAGTTAGCCAAGTTTTGGGCGGAGTTCCGGTCACTTGGGAACTGTTTAAGACAGCCTTCTTGGAGATATTCTTCCTAGGGAGATGAGGGAGGCCGAGGTTGAGGAATTCATCAACCTTAAACAGGGATCCATGAAATCAGGGAATCCTGAAGTTTGTTAAATTTTCATAGTATGCTACTTCCCTTGTATCTAACAATAGAGATGAGATGAGCAGGTTCCTCATAGGAATCAATGAAGATTTGGAGGAGGAGTGTCAGTCTGTGATGCTCCACGATAACATGGACCTCTCAGGTTGATGGTACATGTAAAACAGGTAGAGGATAGCCGGAAGAAGAGGCGCTTTTTTGATGCTAGGAGGCCTAAGCCTAAAGATCAGGCAAGTCCTAGTAAACCTATTTCAATTCCTCCTTATAGAATGGCTCCAGCTAAACTCAAGCTTTTGAAACTGAAGTTCAAATATATCACTCTTAAGGGTTTCATTCAGCCAAGCATATCCCCTTGGAGCGCTCCAGTGTTGTTTCTGAAAAAGAAAAATGGAACCCTTAGAATGTGTATCGATTATCGGCATCTCAACAAAGTCACTATCAAGAATAAGTATTCTTTCTCAGAATTTATGACTTGTCCGATCAGTTACAAGCGTCTAGTTTCTTCTCAAACATTAATCTTCGTTCAGAGTACCATCAGCTTAGGGTTAGGGACGAAGATGTTCCAATGACATCCTTTCGTACTCGTTATGGTCATTAAGAGTTTCTAGTTATGTCATTTGGTCAAACAAATGCACCTGCTACATTTATGGATCTTATTAATAGAGTCGTCTATGAACACCTTGACTCTTTCGTCATAGTATTCGTTGATGACATTCTCATCTAATCTAAGACAAAGGAAGAGCATGAACAACATTTGAGTCTAACCTTATAGGTACATAGACAACATCAATTGTATGCAAAATTTAGCAAGTGTGAATTCTGTCGTAGATCAGTGACCTTCCTATGTCATGTTGTGTCCGACAAAAGTGTGGAGGTAGATCCCAGGAAGACTGAGGCTGTTAAGAAATGGCCAAAACCTCTTAAACCCACAGATATTTGTATCTTCTGGGGATTGAATTGTAATTATTGCAGGTTCGTACAGGGTTTTTCTTCCATTGCTCCCTCACTGACAGCTTTGACTAAGAAGAAGGCCAAGTTTGAATGGACGGAGACTTGTGAGAAGAGTGTCCAGAAACTCAAGGACAGACTCACTTCAGCCTTGGTGCTTAGTTTACCTAATTGTGGTGAGGATTACACTTTTATTAAGATGCATCTAGGGTTGGTTTGGGCTGTGTTTTTATGCAAGGTGTTAAGTTGATAGCTTATGCATCCAGACAAATCAAGGTTCTTGAAAAGATTTATCGCATTCATGACCTGGAGTTGGGGTGTTTGCACTGAAATAGTGGAGGCACAACTTGTATGGAGTGCATGTGGATGTGTTTTGAGATCATAAAAGTCTCCAATACGTGTTCATACAGAGAGAGTTGAATCTACATTAGCTGACATGGTTGGAGCTGTTGATGGAATATCACATGAACGTTCACTACCATCCATGTAAAGCTAATGTTGTAGATGATGCTTTGAGTTGAACGACCATGGGAAGTACAACCCACGTTAAGGATGGGAAGAAGGAGTTGGTGAAAGATATGCATAGATTGGCCAGACTGGGTCTGCGGTTAGTCGACTCTACTAGTGTGGGTGTTTTAGTTATATCTAGTTCTAAATCATCCTTAGTAGTTGAAGTCAAGGAGGTTCAACATCTTAATCATGTGTTGATGGAGCTGACGGACTCAGTGTTGGTTAAGATGTGTAAGTCTTTTGCATTGGGAGATGATGGCATACTTAGGTGCTAGGACAGCCTATGTGTACCAAATGTGGATGATTTGAGGACCAGGATCATGGTAGAGGCCAATGGTTCCAGATACTCCATACATCCAGGTTCCACCAAGATGTATCATGATCTTAAATATATCTATTGGTGGGATGTCATGAAGAAGGACATTGCATATTATTTGCTTAAGTGTCCTAATTGTCAAAAGGTTAAGGCAGAACATCTTAAGCATGGCGGTCATACTCAAATTATTGACGATCCGCTTGGAAATAGGAGGATATAAATATGGACTTCGTGTTTGTTCTTCTGAAGACTAGGAGAGAACATGACTCCATATTGGTTATTGTGGACAAGATTACTAAGTCTTCCCACTTTATCCTGTGAAGTATACTTAATGAGCTGAGGATTATGTGAAACTCTACATTGATAAGATTATGAGACGGCATGGGATTCCTTTGTCTATCATTTCAGATAGAGGAGCTTAGTTCACTTCACATTTCTGGAGATTCTTTAAGAAGAGCTCAGGCACGCAAGTGAAGCTTGGTACTGCCTTTCATCCTCAGACTGATAGGAAGGCAAAGCGCACCATTCAAACATTAGAGGACATATTGAGGGCGTGTGTGATTGACTTCAATGGTAGTTGTGAAGAACATCTAACTTTGATAGAGTTCTCGTATAATAATAGTTATTACTCTAGCATTGGGATGGCACCGTTTGAGGCACTGTATGGTAGGAGGTGTAGGTCTCCAGTTGGGTGGTTCGAGGTTGGAAAGTCATCCATTTTTGGTCCACAGATAATTCATTAGGCCTTAGATAAGGTCAGGGTGATTATGGACAGGTTGTCTACTTCTTATAGTCGTAAATCTTATGCAGACAACAGAAAACATAGAGTTTGATGTTGGTAACCAGGTCTATTTGAAGATATCATTTATGAAGTGGGTGATGAGGTTTGGCAGGAAGGGGAAGTTGAGACCGAGGAATGTTGGGACATATGAGATCCTACACCGTGTGGGACAGGTGGCCAATAAGTTAGCATTTCTTGCGGATCTAACTTCTATTCATCCCGTCTTTCATGTCTCTATGTTAAAGAAGTTCCTAGGTGATCCAACATCGATTATACGTGTTAAAGGTTTGGGGGTTGATGAAAATTTTTCCTATGAGGAGGTACCTGTTTAGATTTAAGACAGACAGGTCAAGCGGCTAAGGAACAAGTAGATTGCCACACTTCAGGTATTGGGGAGGAATCATCTTGTTGAGGGTGCTACGTGGGAGGCCGAGGCCAATATAACATCCCGCTACCCCCATATTTTTCAGATCTTAAGGTTAGAATTCCTACTCTTAATTCTATGTTTCCTTATCTCCATTCATATTTGTTATTGCTTTATTAGATATAGTAACTATGTTATGATTTGACTGGCATTACGCGAAATAGTCAGTATTCTCTCTCAGGGACGAATGTTCCTATTGCGGGGATAATGTAACAACCCTAAAAATGGATATGCTAGTAATTCTTAATGTGTCTAGAATGCCTACAATTAGAATGGGTTTACATAGATTGATGCACGTATAACAAGACCTTTGAACCCTTTCTACAGCCAAGCCAACTAACTTAGGGAGTTATTTTAGCTAGTAAACGTTGGGTCCAGCCATGTAGGGCTCTCGAATATGAAGATTAACTCAAATGAGTCTTTACCTGACTTAAAAACGGAAAATCTTAGGTTTGGAGGGTCTAGGGGTAAAATGGTCTTTTTCAGGGCTAAGATTAGTATCATAATTACCCTAATTATATAAATAATTATTAAATTAATAATGTGGAGTGGCATTTTTAGGAGAGAGGGCTGAAAATTGGCTCTTAGAGTGAACTCTTGTTCCACCCGGGTTCGAACCTAGGTGGAAGCGATGATTTAAATTATTTTTTATTGATGTTGATAAATTAACATAACTAATTAAAATTTATTATTTATTGGCTGTGTAAAAAAAAGTGAAATCGGATTTTTAATATTTAATTAAACCTTATTTGACTAAGTCCTAAACTAGACTTCTAAGCCTAACATAACTCTCTCCTCTCATTTCTATCTCTAAACGCATGTCTCTTCTCTTTCACGTTCTCTCTGCCAAAATAACTTCAAGAACAGAAAGATAAACCAAGTTCTTCACACTTGAAGAACTCACCGCAAAAGATAGAAACAAACAACGAAATCAATTACGTAGGCAAAGAGAATGTTGTCCGTCGACTTTGGTGTTGACCTTTCGGTGTTGGACGTGTGTTTGGACGAGTTATTTGGGCGGAAGGTAGAGGTTTGACCATAAAAAAGGTATGGGTTCTCTTCTCTCTTCGTCCCTTTCCCATGAGACCTCTGAAGGTTCAGTATATTCAGTCCTAAAACGAGGGTTGTTCCCCATTGCATTTCCCTGTCACTAGCTCCCATTTAATCATAGGCTTGTTATGTTTGCTGGTTGAAAACAAGGGATAAAATGTGTTTTTGTGATGCTTATGTGTTTATATGTATGTTCAGAATTATGTGACTTATGTTGACGTTCTGAAAATGTTACTACGTGCGTTTGGGTTTGTTGTTGTGCCTATTGGTCAAGGTTTAGGATTTGAAATGGGATGTTAGTTCTTTGTATTTCATGTATACATGTTTAAGTAAATCGTGATGTTCATTAGAGATCAAATGTGTCTGATTTGAGTGATAATCTCTTGGCTAAACGAATCCATGAAAATTCACCTAAAACGTTATAAATACACTATGAAATTCCCCTAAGAACTAACATGTAATATAATAGAAAAGAAACTGAAAATGTAACTTAAATTTTTAGCACCTTGTTGATTAATTTCAGCCAAGTTAATTTATTTAAAATGTCATTAAAAGTGAAGAAAAACATGTGAGGTCACCGAGGGTCGAACCCGTGACCTCACCACGTTAAAATTTTTGAAAATAAAGAAGAGAAAAACAATGTGGTAAGCGGTATTCAAACCCACAACCTCTCGGTCAAGCATAAGGAAAAATGAAAAGAAAATAAGTGTGAGGCGTGGGAATTGAACCCATAACCTCTAGGCGGAAAAGGAGAATTAAAATAAAAATAAAGTAAGGCTATGGGGGTTCGATCCCACAACCTTACGGTCAACTCAAAAAAGTCATGATCAAACGAAAAAAATAATTAAGCTGTGGGGAATCGATCCCACAACCTCTCGATCCTCAAATGGATAAAATAAAAAGAGAAAATAAAGAAGAAAAAAGAAATGACAACAGTGGCGCTTGATCTCGAGTCCAATGTTGTCTAACCGAAAATAAATAAAAAGAAAAATGTAAATGTTGTCCAAGGGGTTCGAAACCGGGTTCCCTTGACCAAATTTCCGTATTTATACATAAGTCATACGTGATTAAATATTCAATGTAATTCTGCCTACATAGATCGGAATGGAGATCTCTGCATTCATACAAGATGCATAAGTCTTGTAGCACATAATCTTAGGAAGATATGAATCAGATAAACAAACTACGAATGAAGCCTCATGGCTTGTATGTATAGACCCAAAAGTCTAGCATACGTTAGACGTAAGTGAACCTAAGATGTATGTACTGAAATGTGTATATGAAGAATGAAATTATGAAACCATGGAAGGGTTAAGTAAGAGTTGAAATACTAAATGGCAAAGTGCATTGGCATACGATGAAAATAACATTAACGTAAAAAGGGGTGAGTAATTATGAAGAGCAAACGTGTTAATGCTAATAATTGTGGTGACAACATGATATGAGGCTAATGTAAAAGATGAGAGCAATATCAAATAAGCCTAAGTAAATATTCCCAAAATGCACTAACCTATGAGAGTGTAAAGTTAATGAAGGGACTAGTCTCTATGAACACTCTAATGAAGGTAATGAGATTAAGACACTTAATACTAATGGTGAGATGAGAAAACATCTATAGAGCTATGATGTCCACATACAAGAATCCACCTTCCATTATGTATGAGTTGAATGTAATGGAACTTTATACTGAGCACAGATAGGCTAGCTATGAGCGGTGACACCTTCTTTCGGAAAGGACGGAGGTTCACGTAACTCTCATGAGATTAGACTGTTCGGCATGCCGGGTATGTGTTTCCTCATATATCTTAGTCTACGAACCTATACTACAAATATTGGGATCTGACGGGGTTCAATTCCCATGTACGCTAGCATTTTTTGGGTCACTTTGTCCAGTAATTCCACCTCTTTTTGGTGTGGGGAAGACACTGGATTTCATGATGCTCACATGATCTATTTCTATTTAAGTTAAAGTTCCCCATGAATGAATGAGGTCATCCTCAAATGATGAACATAATGAAATGAATGATACTAAAGGTTTTATGATAGGATAATAAAGACGTGAGCTAGAATTAAGCAATGACACTAGCTCATTCTTGACCATTGCAGAGTGAACCCGATGAAAGTCATAAACTACATCCTCGGGATTGCTAGTGTTTACACTAGTTTATGAATGAATGAAATGAATTACGTATGAATGAATGGATCAGATTTTGTGTTTGCTAAAGAAGCCTCCCTAGTTGAGGTCCCATATGTTGAGACCTCATTTTGGGAAGTCTTAATGTCAAGTACATGATTTCATGGTCTCATGGCATATGAATGAATGATATGAAAGATGTTATGTGGTATATGCAAAGCAATATGTGGTATCTGTAAGATATTATGTGTTGTGTGCAGTATTATAAGTATGATCATGCATGTTACTCTCATGGCATGACTTTCCTAATATAAATTTGGAAAGCTCACTAACTTCCCTAATCCCATTTTGGTAAGTCCACTAACTTGACTTTCAATAATCATGTTGTTAGGAAAGAGTTGTTCTTACTCATGCATGTTCTTGTTGTGTGCTTGCATATACCCATACTTACTACAAGTGTGTACTAATACCATACAATTCTACAATTTTAGGTGGAGGCACAAGGGGACGCTAGAGCTTATAGGTTGACGTTGCGGCTATCTGGACGTGGCGCTTTCATCAAGACTTGGTAGGCCCTCATCCTTTCGAGGATGTCTACCGTTATTATCAAGCTTAGATATAGGTTGTATCGAGTGAAGAATGTTCCTCTAGTGTTTCTTTCTACTTTTGTTCAAACTTTATATTTGTGTCGTTTTGGCAAAAATACGATTAGTAAAATCATTGACTAATTCGTTCATTTGATTATCTCTTTATTAGATGGTTTATTTGTAAACGCCTCTAATGTTATGTAGTATGTATAAATGGATGTTAAGAAACAAAATTTTCAAATTGTCCGTTAAATTAACCTAGATGATGTATGGATGATGTATGTAGGCTTGTTTGCGACCTCTGAGAGGTCAACGACGCTGGTCTCGTCTGGGGCTAGATTCTGGTAATGACATTTAGGTTATATTAAGTTAGTTTTGCACCCTAGACTAGACAACACCGCTCATTTCAAATATTCAAACTCCCTTTCTAAGGAAAACTCTCCCAAAGTCAACATTCAAGCTAAGACTTAAGGAGGGCAAGAAGGGCTGGTTGGACTTAAATGTTCACCAAATTTTATGGGTTACCTTCTCTTTGAGGTATGGTATCCATACTTGAACCCTCTTCCATTGAAGGAGTCAATTCCAAGAGATTTCAAAAAAGGTTTTCTTCTAAAAGTGTTCAATATCCTAATTTTTTTAATTCTTGTATGTAGTGATGATATTCATGTTAAGAACCCTAATGAACTCATTTTTATGCATATTTGAACTTCTATCTTGGGAAATGGGTTATATGAGCATTTTTGGGTAAAGTATGAACTTTGGTTTTCTTGTATTAATATGTTAATTTAGCTACTGCGCTAAGTTTCTTATTTTGATGAAATGTTGATAAAATGATTATAATTTATTATGGCTTGTTTAAATTACAAGTTTCTTTTAATGTATAGTTTTCATTATAATTGCTCTTGAGTGGTATGGTCCACCTTCTTGATGGCGGTGTTCGTTTGATGAACATGATATTACTTAGTATATTTTTTGAGTGTGTCTTTGAATGCCTAGTAGGTGAAATGAAGTGGTATTGAAGATGAGTCTTTTATTGTGTTTTGTGAAGTTGAATATCATGTTTGGCTAAGATTATGCCTAGGTTAAATATATGCCTTGTAAAGCATGTAAATTGTGTAAATTGATGAATGTAGGACT